AGACTATTGAAAAAGATATTTCTTTGTGTTTTGGGTCAAAATTTCGACCCCATCCCTTCATGAGTCCCAGGATGTGCCTCTACTTAATTCAGCTTAAGTGGGAACTATGTTAGTCGACCACCTTCTACTCTAATTCAGGGGTGATTGCAATTTGTTTTTCTCCTGCATTGGAAGTCTGGTCTACTTCTGTATGTTTTCTTTCAGGCAATCCACAGGGTAAAAACCAACCTGACGGCATTTTAAAGGGGGACAGACCTTTCCTGATTGCTCATTTTCGGAGAAAAGAAAAAGTGACATTCATTGTTCCTCCATCGAAAAACAACCAGAGCCACGGTAAGTGGAAAGAGATAAGATCTTGGGGTGTCGAATGGTCCCATTCCATTTACAAGTGCTCGCAAAATTTGGCTTTTGCTCGAATTGCTCGCAAAAACTACACGGGTGCTCGCTTGCTCGTGACCACAAAATTTTTGCAACTGCTCGCATGCTCGCATTCTCGTTAACATGTGCTCGATTGCTCGTAACTTCGTTAACCCTGCTTTAATTTGTAGTTATTTTTTATTCATACATAAACGATAAGTCAGTTGTGATATGGCTAAAACAAAAAGGTTGAAACATCCCTACCTCCGGCTTGAGTCTTTCTTCAACAGTTCAGCCTGTAACTGTTTTGGGGGCGCTGTTATATTATCGGAAAAACGCACGAAGTTCCATGACAAGCATTTCGTGTATTAATTTATTCTTTATCATATTTAATTGCCTCAGGCTTTCTGCTTGAGAGGGGTACAGTTTCGCAGTTCAAATATGTGATCGTTCAGGTAGTCACTTCTTTCTTAGGTTATTAACAAGTACCCAAAAGATTTAATTTCTGTTAATACTGTTTTTGCATTTTTCCTCAGTAGATTCGCTTTCATTGCCTGAAGCTAGCTTACAATTGTTGTTTCTTTGACCAGTTTCCCGGGTATTTTACACAATGACTTAAACCTTCTTTCGCTTGAACAAGAAAACGAGACTGTAACACGATATATTTATCAGGAAATTCTGATAGGAAACTCGACATAACGGGAGGTGACATAATCTCCTCTGGAGACTGACAACATTACTTCCGAACCTTTGTTGAACTAAATTCCAATTTATTTGAGCAAATCATCAGGATTTGTAGACATGATGGATTTTGCAGTGTGCAATGGGAAATAAAATGGACGGAGTCCTAATATTTTGAAACAGTGTACTCGGATCGCATTTTGTAGCGGCTTTTTCAACCTTTGAAGCTTCCTGGCCACTAGTAATAATAACTAATTAAAATCTGATGCCAAACGGTGGCATATGAAACCCGATTAAACAAAACAACATGATAACAACCCTCGGTCGTTTGGACTTTACCGGAAATTCTTAAATGAAATGTTGCTTTAATCATTTTGATAAAAAATTAAAGACCTAGCCAAACGAGGACACATGTCTAGAAACTTAATRTCTCCATGTCGCGCGGAAACACGAAATGTAAGAATTCTTCTCGAAAGGCACCAGCGAAGGTAGAAAGTAATCTAGAGAAATACTACGGTTACCAGTGCTATTTGACCTTCASAGCTACTACTAGAGCTTGTCAGATCTGTACGGCTGTAATTGGTTAGATTCTAGAAGCCTCCAATGAAATAAAACTTCATTGCGTTGAATCTTTTTCAGTCGATCAACGGGAAACCAGTTTGCCGATCATCGAAACCGAAGCCCGAAATGCTTGTTAGACCGACCGTCACGTTATTTACATTTCATAAGAACTATACAACCGAAAAAACATTTTAGCGTCGGGTTAGAAAGAGATGGAAAACTTGAGAGCTCTTGAAGTTCTTGAGCCTCCACCCTGACTGAATCACGTGAAACTACGTGACGTAATTTGGCATCAAGTAGGGCACAGTTGCCTGTAAGCTGCTGGGACTGGTTGAACCGCCCTAGCTTTGCACCTATTGTTCTGTTTTGGAAGTGTCAGCCAGATTATTAGTTATTACTTGGCGCAAAACAACGTGTCCTATTAATAAAAGAGAGATTCCCGCCACAGGGAGCCCGCTCAAGCGGCGTGTCTGGTCATTTGTTCGAAATATAAAGAAATGTATGGGAGACTATTGAAGAGTCGTAATATCGTCAACTTATATCAAAGAATGTCTATGTTTAGGCTCAAAATAAATGTAAACCTACCTCACTTGCTGTGTATTGTCGTTTCTTTGGTTCTAAATGGCGAATCTGAGCGATTTGGTGGGTTTTGCGTTGACTGTTACTTTATGTTATAAGAAGTGATTCCGGCTTGAGGAAAATTTGCGAAGTACTCGAAGTGCTCGCTGCTCGCCATCTGTATTTTCTAAAGTGCTTGCTGCTCGCAAGAAAAATTTGACAACTGCTCGTGTTCGCAAAAATAAACACACTGCTCGCATGTTAGCAAATGCTCCCGGAGACCATTCGATACCCCTAGATCTCTTCTCGTTTGATGTTTAATAAAGAATTTATACTTCATACTCCCTGACATGATGAAGTTGAATTAATCAAATTATTTTGGAGAACGTGTTAATGAATCGAGAAACTTGCTCCATTAAGTGATGAGTTAAATCAATCAAGTGGTACACTCTCTGCTTTCCCAGCTCCAATTTTTTAGCGTCTCGTAGCCAAGGGATGTATTTGAAATTCTTCGGCTGGACAAGAGGAAGAATGAAGCTCGCATTCTAATTAAATCGACTGCTAAAAACCTGATTGACGAAAGATGACTGTCATTATCATTGTTTTAAGTAGTTCAACTTTGTGTTACCTCGATCCTTAGTCGAAAGTTTGGTGAAAAGAGTTTCCGTAAAAGATTCCAACTCTCGTCAATATACATGTGACCCGTCATGTGGAACTTTCCTCTGGGATGGTTTTGGTCGATGGGTGAACGGCCGATGGAAGCCTTACATCAAAGGTACTTTGTTTTGAAATATAAAACAGAATGTACTGATATTGTTAACTTCATAGTTTTTTCTTTCTTTTTTTTACCGACTTACTATCAGACCCACGAGTATGCATGGGTACCGACTGAATAGCACACCTACGATAGGCTGTTATACCATTTAGAGGCAGCGGCAATACCCTCCGACAATTAACTAATTAACCCGAGTGACGATTCTTCTGTTACCTTGTATGTGATATAGAACTTATGTTCTTTCCAAAAATTTCAGATATCATACAGAAAGACGGACGCAATAAAGAAGGAATGTTCTTTTCGTTCGGAGACTCGATCTCGAACGCTTTTATGAGCTCACTAACGTCTGGTCCGTACAGCGAGCTTTGTAAAGTGGCCTTCGCAGGTTGCCAGAATGTCTATCACTGGGTGTACGATATGCGAGGGTACTGGGGCGATGGAGTGAAATCACCGAGGGAACCGTTACCAGATGGACGAGATTACGACCACGAGCGAGTTGTAAATGAAATCAAAAAAGTAAGCCCCTCCCCGAGTACCGTGACAGGAAATCATCATCAAGTTTGCAGCTTGCACATTTTAATTGATTGTATTAGACAATAACCGAAATAAACTCAACAGCCAATCAGAAAAAAGGAAAGTGTCACCAGGAGCCAATAGGAACTCAAAGTGAAACAACTTAATTGCTTGAACCGCGCTAAAACGCGAGTATTCTCCGCGATTGGTTATAGCTTTGAATCTGATTTGTTGAGATAGCAGGTGCAAGGTATTTTGGATTATTACAGTAAGAGGTAAAGACAAACCTTACAATTGAAAATTTCTTTTTGGTACATTCAACATCGAATTTTGCAAACTGAGCGTGCAACTAAGAGCTGTTTGAATGATTCACAGTTTTGATTTAAATATTTTGGTTTAGCACATTATTTTGTTAAGGAATTCCTCATATTAACGTATCTATTCATACACCTGTGGCTATATACTCTCACAAATGCCAATTCCTAAAAACCTACTTTAATTTCACTTTTTCTCTTTCAGACGCTTTATAATCCTGCTCTAACTGAAAAGAGTGTTCTTTTGATGAACATGGGCATACATTTTGCTGCTGCAGTGAACTTCACAAATTACAGACGACTAATTGATGATCTAATAAGACTTGTTACTAAAGGCAAAGGACAGCCAAGGCCTTACAATGAAAGTACAACAAACATTTTCAAGGGCAGATTTATTTGGAAGACCTCTACTGCCCTAAACAGAGATCGTTTTCCAAATCCTCACAAAGACGTCCGTCGATTTTTAACTTTCCAGCGCGTGTTACTTTACAATGCGTATGCTACTTCTGCTATGTGCCGCGCGGGTATTGACGTCATCGACGTTTACCCAATCAGAGATTCATATCCAACCGGTACCATTTCACTAACAGATCCAGTTCACTATGGTGGTCACGTGTTTAGGGATGTGGAAGCTTTATTATATAGGATGTTCAGTCCTCAGGATTCCTAAGGGGTGGGGGGTGGGAGGAAGGCGAACTTGCTGTGTTTGTTTAGTTCTCTTACTCGTTACCACATACGTTCTAAGCTTTATTTTTTACACAACGAATAATTCTATAAAATGTTTTATCCTATTTTGTTTACTTCAGAGGGAATGACGAAGAGCTAACCGTCGAAACGTCAGCCTTGAAACTCTTTACGATGATCAATTCACATTGTCAATTCAGATGATAAAACCAAAATGACCTTGTTATACTACACCACCGACACAGCATCGCAGTTTCTTTAGAAACCTGTACCCTTTATTCAGTTGCTGTGGTAGCCTAGCTACGTTTAAGAAACAATTTAAAACATTTCTTTTCAGGAAAGCCTCTAGTACTAGTTTATATTACTTAATGCAATGTAAAGCGCTTTTCGAATATGTGCACAGTTTTTAGCGCTCTACAAATGCTTTATTGCTATTGTTATTGTTATCATAACACACTGCCTCTTAATTAGGTTTTCGTAAATCATGTTCAGGTGTTAGGTGGAGATCCGCTGATATTTTCTTTTGTGTCTTCGTAAGGTATAGGATAAGTTCTTCCCTCCTTTTTAACTGTTGAGAATAAGCAATGTTTTGGATTAATCCCATGAGAGAGAGCATGTTTCCGAGAGGGGATTGGGGTTGAATTTTTGCATGGTCATACTATAAATGGTTCAGAATGTTTTCTCTCAGAGTGTAGCTTTGTGCGCGCGGTTCATTTGTGATAATTGCCTCCGGAAATACTCTCCCGAGGACCTAAACATTTTCTTCCTCCAGAAAAGAGGGCACCACGTATGACGCCAGGAAAAATACTTCTTATGATCCGTCCAGATTACGACCTTTGACACCCCCAAGAGTGTCTAAGATCCCCTGAAAGAATCTACCAAGTAAAGGAGAGACTAAGTAGAACCCCTACTGCAGCTCTCTAGTCTTTTTCACTATAACTTTTATCATCAGTCGAAGAAAGTTCATGGAGCAGACTGGCTTTATCATCTATCCCCGTAATAAGGATTCTTAAAGTTATAGTCTCCTACCCAGCACAGGTCAAAGTGGAAGGTTGTTATTGAACCAGTTTCTTTTCCCGCTAGGAAAGGAAGCGATCGGACTTACCATGACGACAATAATAGTAAACCCTTATGACGATGAATGGAACAAAAATCAAACCACCCACTACTATTCCTGCCACGGCATTTGGTGGTAAGGATTTCTTTGACGCTAAAATTGATTGAAAAAATTAAGTTTTTTAGTTGTACAATTTTATTCACTATTTTTAAAAAGTATTTACTGGGTCTTTTGTTTGGAAATAGTCACTGAAATGGCCAAAAAAAAGAAGAAAAATTAAAAAAACCATGCCTTCAAAGATAAGGCGTCATACGACAAGTTGGTCGAGACAGATCAACGTTCTCCGTCGTGAAAAAAACCTTGAATAATTTAGGACATTCCACAAAAAAAAAAAAAAAAAAAAAAAATTCACAAGGTACTTACCACTTGTCTCTTTCGATCTACTTGTCAATGTGGTTTCTGTTGTAAGTGGCGATGGTGTTGATCCGGGAGAGGATTCTGAATAATTCGCTTCAAATCCGCGATCAACTATTAGTCCAGGATGGAACATCACAAACATTTGGTTTCCAGTCGAGAACTGAGACTCATTCCGTGGCGATCCTTGACAAAATCGCCCCAGTGAAGGAGAATTTGCTGACCCACCATCATAAAGCTCCACATACGAACAAAATTCCGAACAAGGTTTGGCTGAACACTCACTTAAGAGAAAGTCAGTAAACACAAACTTTACTCTTTTGTTAGCTGGCGCGGTAATGTTCCAGGTACAATTTCTGAACGCAGTGTAGTTACTATTTGGATAGTTTGTGCTGGTTATTCTCCCACTTCCTGACGAATGAATTGCTTCCTTTGGACAAACTGTTGAAAGTAAAAAAGGTCCATGTGAACGTGGGAGAATATTACAATCATGGATTTACGACGGAAAGAAACTCAATTTATGCTTGCTTCGAAAGATTTTCGCTTTGGCCAACGTGTACAAAGCTGAGAGAAAAAAAGACCCATTTGTCAAAATCTACACGACCAAATGCAAGAAGGGGGCCCATATAAGAGAGTGGAGCCCAGGCAAGAAAATGAAGTTTGCGGAGTCAACAACTAGGGATAAAGGCTGATAGTTTCGAAAGAAACTGTTTGGGGAACTAGGGAGCCGACCAAAAAAGGTGAGAAATTAAGGAGTGGGAAAACATAGCTTAGATTCCCGGTACATTACCGCTTAAAATGGCGTATGAGAGATGTTTGCATTCACCAACCGATAACAGTGAGAACTTCAGCTCTAATTAAGTTCCCAACTTATCATTATTTGTACAGGCGAATTTATTACATATAGACTAACTAAATTTTCTTTCAGAAAAATCTTAGATTTCACAGAGTCTTTTACTTCTTACTTGGGAGGACTGTAGTTTAGTAGTTTGTAAGTTGCCTCAAATCCGCCATAATCCATTTCTGTACTACCGGACACAAACACCACTCTCAAGCTTTCGTGGAGTGAATAAAATGTTTTAGTATAATTTCAGAGCTGAGCAAAAAGTTTCCAGGAATCTGATTGGTCGAGCGGTTCCTTATATGACGCTATATAAACCGCTCGACGCGGCTTATATAAAATGTTAAAATAAAATGTTAATAAATGTTACTAAAATGTTATGATTTTAGAAATTTCTCTGTCGATCAGCTCTGAAATTATACTAAAACAATTATTCGCCTCAGGTTCGGTGAATATTGTCGAATAATGCCCTCGACTTCGTCTCGGGGATTATTCGACGATATTCACCGAACCTGAGGCGAATAATTGTTAAATAGAAGTATTCCTTGGTGTACCACACAGTTTTCCAGGCGGCAGAACATCAGTAAAGCTGTTTTGAACTTCAATAAAATTGCACGAGCAATTGCCACCACCGTGAAGATTGTAGTCTGGTAATGTGAGCTGAACACGGTATCCTTGTTTCGCTGTTATATTCCAGCTACATGTCTGATTGAATGGATAGTTTCTTGGGTGAAAGGGAGATGAGAAAGAACCCGATGTCCCACTTAGGATCATATCTGTGGGACACACTGAAAAAAAAGTAACAGAGACTATGTCAGGTTCAGGGCAAACCATCTTGTTTTCAGTAGCAAAGGAATTAATTTCGTTTCCTTCTGACTGCACGCTATGCGTATACAAGCATACTTCATTATGAACCATTGAGGAAAATAAGCACTTACACTGATCTCCATCTATCGCCTCAAATGTTGCATTGAACCCTTTGTTTATAGGACCGGTGCGGGATTCCAATCTCACTTGAATAAAGTTTGCTTTAGAGTAAACAGGATGGGGGAGCTTTTGACCGCAAAGCCTAAAGTCGTTAGGATCTCCTCCATATGAAGCAACGTTTGTGATAAAAACTCGGGCACTTGTGGGAGCTGATCCAGTACAATTTTCCTTCAGATACAATGAAATATATGAGGTTCATATATTTCATTGTATCAGGCCTGTACGGGAAAATCAGGCCTGTACGGAATCCCGTACAGGCCTGATTTTTTTCAGGTCTGATTTTCGCTATTGCTTAAATAGCGCTATCTACTGCGAGGATCGTGCATCATATGTACAATTTTCCTTCTCAGCTGTTATCAAGGTGAAACTGAAGAAGGTCAGTTTGATGATTTTCCCACTGGGTACCGTGATATTCCAGGTACAATTCTTGTTTGCATCATAGCTGTCGGGAAAATTGAGGCTGGAAATATGACCACCGTTGAAGTATTAATGGATTTTCCAGGAGAGGTGCAGGCTGAAAAAGAGAGCTTGTACGTTGCCCTAAATCCGTCGTAATCCATTTTTGTATCATCGGACACAAACACCACCTTAAGGCTTTCGTGCAATTTTAAATCAAAAGTCCTTGGTGTACCACAAAGTCTTCCAGCCGGTGCATCATCACTGAAGCTATTTTGAACTTCCAGATAATCACACGAGCAAGCGGCGTCACATTGGTGCAGATTGTAGTCTGGTATTGTGAACTCAACACGGTATCTTTGTTTCCCTATAATCTTCCAGCTACATGTCTGGTTGAATGGATAGTTTCTTGGATTAAAGGGAGAGGGGAGAGAACCTGATGTTTCATTGAGGATCAAATCTGCAGGACACACTGAAAAGAGCAATAAAGACGGTATCAGACTGAGTGCGGTCAACTGAGAAATTTCTCCACCACCTAATTGCTGATTTTTCGTATGTTGACGGGCTTATACTTTACTCAATATACGGAGCACGAAATAAGAAAAGAGACATTGTGTGAGCAGCTAACGCTAGAATAAAAGATTTGACTACAACCCACAATTCCTCTTTTCGCTCCGACGAAGGGCTAACGCTCGAAACATCAGCTTTTGTAATCGTTACGGTGGCCAATTTACCACTTCAACTTTGTTGATATATCCAAATTAATTCGTTACTCCCACCAACGCAGCCCCAAACAGTTTCTTTCGAAACTATCAGCCTTTATTCATTTGACTACATTCACTTTTTTTCTACGGACTCAAGCTGTTTACATATTATTTTCCTTAATCACTTGTAAGATAAATCTGACAAAATTCTCGCTTACTTCAAAGGGGGTACATGTTCAGAGTACTTTTTTACTTACATGAATCTCCATCTCTCGGCTCAAAAGATGCGTTGAATTCTTTGTTTACAGTGCCAGTGCGGGATTCAAACCTCACTTGAATGAAATTTCCCTTGGAGTACACAGGATAGGGAAGCTATTGACCACAAAGCTTAAAGTCATTAGGATCTCCTCCATGTGAAGCAACATTTGTGATCAAAACTCGGGCACTTGTTGAGGCTGCTCCAGAACAGTCTGTGTTTTCTTTTTCTACCAGGGTAAAGTTGAAGAAGGTCAGTTTGATGATTTTCCCACTAGGTACCGTGATAGTCCAGATACAAATCTTGTTTGCATTATAGTTGTTGGGAAAACTGGGGCTGGAAATGTGACCTCTTGAAGCATTAATGGATTCTGCAGGAGGGACGCAGGCTGAAAAATAGTGTTTTTAATTTACTCTATACATTTCTTACGGTCGACAGAAGAATTTCAGCAATATAGAAAGTAAAAATAATCTTTGCCGTTAATAACTGGTATGAATATATGTCGACTTAAACGGAAAACTATATTATATAGTACATATATCATATGAGTTAAATAATTAAAGAGGACGCATCGATTCTCTGTGACTCTGAGTTTTGCGCGGAAGCGCTCGTCAGGCAGAACTTGTTCTGTCTGGAGTTCTGTCTAACGAGCGCTTGGGCGCGAAACTCAGAGTCACAGAAAATCGATGTGTCCTCTTTAATTCTTTAAGTTAGGTGTACTTAGCTCTGCTACCACAGCATTGAACATTTTATGCCAAGGTAGACTCTACCCCCACTTCTATATAACTAAATGCAGACAATACTGTTTCGGTCTTCTGGGCCTCATCAGTGCAGTGCTGGTTCTAGGATGGGGGTGAAGCTATATTGTTATTATTAAAAAAAATGCAGATTGAAATGTAGACATAAGAATACTATCGGTACTTACGATCACTTGTCGCTACAGTCAGGGAAGCAACTGTAACAGGTACAAAGGACGAACATTAGAACACATTTCTTATTTGAGGATTGGAAACAGCGCTGTTAATTCCAAATGCTAACAAGCTCGAGGTATTCATAAAATGGCAATCTTACAACGCTCCTATCAAGTTTTGTTATAAGTTGTAAACTGCAATGGTTTTTTTGTGCGACTACAAGGTATTCCTGACTGAGTTTTAGAATACACTGTATAAGCTTCCAAACTCTTGCATTTTTGAGCTCTTGAACAGTAAAGTACTAAATAATCGTTTTGTGTGAGATGCATTTTCCTTGCAAGATTTAGCTGTGGCCAAGAAACTTTTCGTATAATTTTAATGATCCTTATTCCCTTAAGACGCCTTCCAAGTAGAAAAGAGAGCTGTGAAGTGAAAGTAGATCCTTTCGACTTTCGAGAAGTTATTAAGATTTGAGCCTGGAAAATGGACCTTTCTCGCAGACTTAACCGACTGGGCTGCCTTTATGGTATCTTGCCTTGAAAGACAGAAGCAACAAGCTTTCAATTTTTAGACTGTTGGATTTTTCACTAAACATTCCTAAAAGAGTATAGGAACACGTAAACAATTTATGTGCCCCGACAATCCCCCTCGCCACTCTCTTTCTTATAAGCCCCCGCGTCTGATGTCAAGTTTCTAACAAGCCCTCCCCTCCCCTAAAATAACCCTCCTCCGGGTCTCCCTAGAAACTGATGAAACAGGTCAAGTTAATATTTTACTTTGTAAAACAAAACAAAACAAAGGTCTTTACTGATTCATTTCCAATCAAAGAAATCTTGACAACAGTCAGAAGAAAAGAACAGACCAACTGTTGGCTATCTCCAGTTTGTTGTTAACCCCTCCTTCCCTTTTCCCTTGTGAAATCCGCCAACCAATTTCACCTCGTCAAATGGCAGTTTAATTTCTCGCAAACTTTTCATCCCCTCTCGAAATCTCGCCAGCTTTTGTGACGAGTCTCGATGTGTCGTTTGCAGCGCTCTTGATTTTGGTGTCGACGTCTCCCATGTTTTCAAAGTCTGGAATTTGTTTCTTATAGACGAGGGTCTCTTCAGCGAGAGTAATTCAGAGTTATTGTTGTGATATCGTCGGGGAAAGTCTGTGTATGATCATTCGAATATATCTCTATAGTAAAGCTTATATCACAAAAACAAACGGAAAACAGAGAATCCAAATTCTACCGCTACATTTCCTCGTGATTAGTTATACACTGCAATAATCTACGAATAGCGACCGAAATCATTTGGTGAACAGGGTGTAAATAACAATGTTTAGTCACCATTTCGAACTTTATCAAAACCAGTAATAACGAGAGTCATTAATTCAGGCAGTTATAAACCTGATCGCACCCGGTATCAAAAATGAAAAACTTAGACTAGTGCGTAAAAAGTCACTCGCCGGCGGAAATGATTCGTAAATCGCTATTGTCGGTAAAGGTACAAACGTGGACTGTTATCATCAATTTTGACCTACGTCAGAAATAACTTACTTATCGCTTATCGACCGCTTTCTGTCTTAATGTAACCTCATATTTAAGTACGAGAATCAACTCCACATTCGCGCTTGACCCTAAAATACGCCTTGAATCCTTTAAAACTTATAAAGCTGACAAATGCACAGTACATCGTTCGTTTCCACCGAAAAAATTGAATATTATTCGACAGGCGTCAATGCGTTTCATTCCCGCTGTTCAACTCGATCAGAAGTGACATCTGCAT